GTCAAATATGGATGGACTGCGGTGCTGAGTAAGCAATGACAAACAGGCAGCGACACGCTGTGGCTTGTTTGCATCGGACAGTGAGTGGGGGACCCACTCGCTCAGTTTTTATACCTTTCCTATGTGATACAAAAGGAATCTGATCGTTTCTTTAGATACCTGGATTTGTTTGCCACATGTTTGGCTACTGTAACTCTCTATGGCTGCTCTCAGGCCCTCATTGTCCAACGCTTGTGGCTGTCCGCTGCATCACTAAGAGACATATCCCGACTTGAACCTCTGGAACCATTGCCTAGTGCAGTTTCTTAAACTGTGGGTCGTGACCTGCAGCAGCTAGTCGGCAAAACTTTCAGAAGTTTTGATATTTCTTTAACTTTATAATAATTTTACAATTGCCAAATATTTCTATACGGTGCATTTAAAATAGATAACTGCAATAACAGACAAAGAAAAAACAAAAACGTTTCGAAACATTCTTTTTGTAATATAAATGCTCATTTCATTTGCTTTGCCAAGACACTGTAATTTTGCCTGTTATTTAAAATTTTCACATGTCTTAAAACCAATGACCTAAAACTGTAATAGTATACAGTACAAAGTCTGTAATCCGGACATCCATTATCTGGAATGATCTACAGCGGGTAAAAAAAGTATTGGCAATTCCCTATAATTGATCATATTACCTAACAAAGAAAATGCCTGACGATTTTAGCTGGACATAACGAACATAGGAGGTAATACACACACAAATCTAATGAAACTTTCAATTTAATATGCATTTTACACAAAATATACAACAAAAACTTAAATTTGCATGTCAAAAAAGTATTGGCAAAGTTCTAACTGCTATGCAAATTTTGATATGTAGAGGTCACGTGTTTAGACTGATAACCCTATTAGTATACAGTCTTCAGTGCTATTTCAAAACTTTTAAAATGTTATTTTGCTCATACTGTGATAAAATGGCTTCGAAGTCGAAGGAGTGTGATGTTGATGTTAAAAACATGATTACTCAGCTTAGAAATGAGGGTTTAACTTATCGTGCTTTAGAAATACAGTTGAACATAAGTTTACTTACTGTTAGAAGTGTTGTAAAAAAGTTCAAAGAGATGGGATCGATGGCAAGTAAGATTAGAAGTGGACGGTATCAAATATTTTCTGCAAGCAAAAACGGGGCATTATTAAAGAGGTTAAGAAACACCCTAAAATAATTGCACCCCAGTTAGCCAAAGATGTTGCTAATAATTCGCATAAAACTTTTAGTGTACAGACTATAGAATGTCTGACATGGAGGAAGTTATTATGGAGGAACAGCTAGAAATAAACTTTTCATTTCAACAATAAACAGGAGAAAGGGATTAGATTTTGCAAAATCTCTTGTTAATTTATCAGAAGAATTTTGGAACACTACTATTTTGTCCGACGAATTTAAATTTAACATTTTCAAGAGTGATGGACGACAATATGTGTGGAGAGCCTATCACTGAATGTCACAGGGTTCATAGCCACATTTTTGTTAAAAAAATAAGCACCTATAAGTACTTTTCAAGCACATTTTAAGGGAAAAATAAGCACCTGTCTAATTACATTATACACAACTGCATAACCTTAAAAGAAAAATTAGACTTGTAATTTAAAATATGAGCAATGCAATATTTCTTACGAGAATGAGCATTACCTCAACAATGGAAAACAATTAACTTTTTTTTAAAAAAAATTTAAATGCCAGTTCAATTTACAGAATTAGTTTACAATGAGAGAAAAAAAACTATGCAGAACTAAACTATATTACAAAATTTAATGATGATATTTCAGTTGAAAATATAGAAAATAAATAATAATAAGCCATATTAATTGTATTCTTTTGCCACCTAATAATTAATCCAATTTATTTTTCCACTCATATTAATATTTAAATAATTTAACTTAAATCAAAATTCTGAACATTTTCAGTTATTTAAGTAAAAAAGAGGCACATTTCTGAAATCAGAAGACGGGAATTTGCTTCATGCAGTCATCCTTTAACAGTAAAAGCTTAACTAACCCGCATACTCGGAAATTCCCGAATATTCCGGATAGTAACTGGAAAAAGAGGAGTGGGGGAGACTGTAGCCGTTCTTTAGATTTAAATTTAGGCTAAATAAATGATTTTGACATTTCGATATGTGCATCATATAAAAAACAACGGAACTGAGAAATATTCTGCTTAGAAAGCACAGTAAAACTCTTTTAAGTGTTCATAAACAAATCTCAGACTGAACATCAAAATTAATTATCAATGCAAAATACCGCAAATGTTACTGCGCAATACGTGCAGCGTAATTCTTCCATATGTGATATTACGCAATCGGAATCAACACCTGCTGGTATTGGGAGAATAAAAAACTAAATAAAGGAAAAGAAAGAGACCTACTAATCTGGGGTGTTTCTGATTCTAATTTTCAACAGACTGTATTAAATTTCCGGAATAGAATCAATCTTCGCTTGGGTTGGGTAAACCACAAAACTTTTAGTCCTATTCAATCCAGATTGGACAGTGACAAAAAAAAGTCCGCTGCTTCAATATTAGAGATTTTGCAGAGGAACTCCCAACCTCCATACGGTATAATGTATTGGCAAAGAAAATGAAATTATTTTGACTATTACTTTCCTTTTATTTAAGCCATTCCGAATATTATTCCTTAGAAAGCTAATCTGTGTAAAAACACACCCATTTTTGGAAGTTTATCTATACTTCAGCAGTTACTGCAACTATATTATTATAAATATTCATACATATGCTCATAATATAAGCATAACGATCACAATAAATGCGAATATGAACTGACCACGCGGAAAGAGAATGCAAATTATTAAAATCTTGATAGAAATTCAAACGTGTGTAGTACTTGGGTGGGAGGAAAAGAATACCAAATGTACAGGAATTTTCTACCGTTTTCGCAATTCTTTGGCCAATAGAACGACGTGCACCTGTCTGTACTCTCGCGCGGACCATAGGTTACGTTAATGCAGAGGAAAGGGAGGAAAAGCAATTTCCGGAAGTATGATTCACCATCTGACGTTGTTTATTTAGTTTCGGCTTTGGTACGGGGGAAAAATGCGCATTCATTAAAAACAAAGGATTAAAAAAAGAAAAAGCACTAAAAGCAAAAAATAAGCACTAAAAACAAAAAAAAATAAGGGCTTTAAAGAAAAAGTAAGCACCTATAAGGGCGTTTATATTTTATTTTCAAATATAAGGATTTATAAGCACTTGTACGGACCGCTACGAACCCTGAGTCAAATATGTTAGCGGGAGCATCGTAGTTCGGGGCAGTATGGCAGCAAACGAAATTGGTAACCTGTGCTTCATTGGTGGTATTACAACGGCATGTGCATACATTGATACGTATATTGCACCATAACATGAAATTCAGTGTCCCAAAAACTTGGTTTAGGAACATCATTTGTGTTTCCACAGAACAATGACTGTAAGGACACAATGAACCTCATCTCACAATAATTACTCTATAATGCTCCTTGTCAGTTAAAGACACCACTTCAATAGCCTGACATGAAATTCATTTAAAAATTTATGGCTTAAATTGGACCTAGAAGTCAGGAAACAAAATTTCGTGTAAAAATGAACTTAAATGTATACTCCTGCAAGAATGGCACAAAATTCTAAACAGGACTGGTTTTTTCCAACAGGACTTTGGTTTTCTCTATGAGAAATAGATTACAAGCTCTTATAGATGCAAAAGGTATGAATACAAAATATTTAATTTTGTTCCCATATTTTTCTGTATGATCTTGCCAATACTTTTTTGACATGCAAATTTACGTTTTTGTTGTATATTTTGTGTAAAAGCCATATTAAAATGAAAGTTTCATTAGGATTTGTGTCTTTATTGCCTCCAGTGTTCATTATGTCCAGCTAAAATTGTCAAGCATTTCCTTTGTTAGCTAATATGATCAGTTATAAGCAATTGTAAATACTTTTTTTACCCACTGTATAATCCGAACCTCAAAGCCACAAACTTTTTTTTTTTTTTTTTTTTGTATGCTATGTTATTCATGCATATTTAGCACAAGAAACAAAGCAACTTGAACACCTTACATTGAAAGAAATGTTTAATAAAGTAAACAAATAAATATTGAGTTTTTTTGTAAGTTTTGATACCTTTAGATCATAATTGCTCTTTATTTCATAAATTACAGTTTCATAATTTTAATTGTATAATTTCTGAATGCCATCTTACCAGATTTAAATTGATGATCTATAATCCGGAATCGCCGAAGTCCCGACGAGTCCGGATTACAGACTCTGTACTGTATTACACTACAAGTGAAAAAATTGACAGTTTCACTCACATGTGTGTCAGATTTGTGCAATGCTTATGGGATTCCACAAAATTTTCTTAAATATTATTGGGTTCTGCGGAGACATTCATCTCTCATAATAAGGCTTCATGCTGGAAAGGAGATAGTTACAAATATTACAAATACCCTCCCTAACAGTATTTTAGACATGCTCTACAAGGTTTTAGTTTAAAGATATAGCTGATTAATACATTCAAGGCTAAATGCACTCCTGAAACTGCAAACATCTTCCTTGTACCTCACAGTCACAGAATTTGTGTCAAAGATCAATGTTTTCTGCACCATGCTACAGTCTCTTATGCAGACTAAATGTCGGACGAAAGCCTTTGAAAAGGTGCAGTTACCTCTGAATTAACTTTCATGGATGATGATTATTTACACAGAACTATCTAGGGGATTTTCTGGAAAGTGAGAAATTAACCAGACAGACTGGACACACAAAACACTTCCAGAACTTTTCCAATGCATGGAAACAGTACTACTGCAGGAGTTATTGACTAAAGTGAAAATTCTATTAATTTTAAACACAAGTGAATGTATAAAAACAGAGAAAATATGCTAATACTATGAAAAATACAGTAGAATGGAGATATTCTTCCTAACAAAAATAAATCAATAATTAAAAAAAACTACTACAATCTAGTTTTTGAAATATTTTATTTCGAAAACTATACACAGCATTATCAACAGCAAGTTTAAAACTGGATCATTTGTCCCTGAAACAAAGAACATAACACATTAGAAATTCTATTACTGTTTCTGCAAAAAAAAAAAAAAAAAAAAAAAAAAAAAAAAAAAAAAAACTAAGAATGCAAAATTAAACAAGTCAACTAGAATTTGCATTACATTATTTGCAATAGTTATTTTCTTTGATTAATTTGAAAACTTACTTCTACTCTGTTATAAAACATTTTTTAACAAATGAATTAAAAATATCATGCACATTTACACTCTGCCCCTGCAAAGTAGTCTCCTGTATGTTTTTGTACATAGGTAAAAAGGAAAAATGGTCAATCCATTTATAAAAAGAATTAACCATATCATGCAAATCGTGGAGTGAAGGAGGTAAAACTCGCATTACCATTTCTCCTCAAAATGGTCCACTTTTTGTTGGATGATGATGCTGCAGTCATCACCTGTTCACCGTGCCATATCATAGTATTTTACAGAGGCAATAATAGAGGAAATACCGATTTAATATCTCTTTTCATTATAAATAAGGCATCAAATGGAACAATTTTCATCCCTGAATGCAAGAGTGGCTACAGAACTTTAAGACACAAGAATAAAAAATCTATTTAGAACTCCAAGATAAACATTTATATTATGCTTGATCATAATTAGACAACGAATAACTTGTCTGAACATCTGCATTGCTGGTAAACAAAAGAGGGTATTTACTGTATGCTTATAAAAATAGTAAATTGGAAATTATTTAAATATTGCATATAACTTTTGTAAATTTAAAGTGTATCTGCATTTTGTGGCAATTTTTTGTGCAAAAATGATTTATTTCATTGTTTCCTCTTGTATCTTCTGATGGTAATGCTGATTAAAAACAATGAGATAAGTGACAAATTAAATGTAAAAAAAAAGAAAAAAAAAAAAAAATTTAGAAGTTTGATTGCAACTTTCCATTTGCCCCCCAACATTACACCTGACAACAAATTGCAATTAACCGTTTGACTAAGCGCTGCGAGCTTCAGTGTGTGTCTTTGTTGCTCTGTCATCAAGTCAAAATATGTCCCACAGTTTTTGTGCATTCTTGCAAGAATAGCTTAGCAGTCAAACGGTTAAATGACTTTAAACTAATTTTTAGGAGATCCATATGAGTCTGAACATGGATTATTATTAATCATTCAAGCATGTACACATCAAGCAGCAGCACTTTCTAGCTACAAATAAAAAGAACAAGGGGTTTGGTTTATTTATATGGGAAAGCACTCTTTGGCTATCTGCCTACGGGGAAGGATACTTTAAACTACATAAAGACTTTCTGAGGTAAAGTGGCTCATATACATGTTACAGATGGGAAAAACCACAAAGGCACCCATGTAGCCATACTGTTCACTGTAATTTAAATCCTAAATCAAACTACCAGTGCTCAGCTACTTTTACCACTCAGCTGCTAGTGGGCTGAAGACCAAGGTGCTCACAAATTTAACATAGTGGTAATTCCAGCCTCCTAGATCTCACCACTGCATGTAACAGTGTAAAACAATACTGTTAAGACTGTTCCAGGATTATTTATATAATTATTGTTATATTTTTTATTAAATTTTTGCAAAAAATATAATTTGAACTTGTTTCTTTCATTGTACATCTTTAATGGTTGAAAAAGAGATATTAAGCAGAAAATAAAAAAGTAAATAGTTACTGTAAGAGCAAATGGATTTAATACATTTTAATGCACAAACTAGCCCAAAAATTAGCTGTTGAGTTTAATGTTAAACCAAAATGAAATAGCAACAATTGCTATTCAAACACAGTTAAAATCTTCATCTCAAACAACTTTCGGATGAATTTCTCTAGGGTTTAAAGTCCACCCAAAACAAAGAATTTTATGACTGCACAATATTCAACTTCACCGCAATATATTCAGTGCTTTTCAAGAACGAGAATCATCTTTCACAATTTTGGCCAAAGTCAGACGTTACGAGGGTAAGGTGAAAAGTTCTCGGCCTGGACAATGTAAGACTGCAACTTTCAGTTAAAAAATGATTTTATTTTTCTACACAATCTCTCTTGACTTCAACACATTTGGTCCAGCATTTCTCCAACATCAGTATTCCCTCCCAGAAGTGAGTCTGGAAGGTTGTGAAAATATTCATCTACGACCCTCTCAGCTTCTTCACTGAATGTGAAGCACTTCACACACACACAAAAAAATTTCTTCAAGTTTGGGAACAGATGGAAGTCTGAGTGCCAAATCAGGAGAATAGGGGGATGGCCGAGCATATCCTACCCCAAATTCCAGTTTTCCCATCGCCAATGCACCCTTGTGCACAGGTGCCTTGTCCTGGTGAAAGATTATTTTTTTTCTTCTTCAAGCTGAACCTTTTCTCATGACTTTAGGCATCCAGCTGGTCAAGAAGTTTGGAGTAATATTAGCCTGTTATTGTTCTCCCCTTTGCAAGATAATCAATTAATAGGATCCTTTTCACATCCCAAAATACATTGGCAATGACCTTTCCAGCTGCGATTGACTTCGCTTTCTTTGGCGCTGAACCACCAGCTTCCACCCACTGCTCGGACTGTTGTTTCAATTTCTAGCGTGTAGTGATGGGCCCATGTCTCATGCATGGTAACAAATCGCCGCACAAAATCGGTAGGATCCTTGTTGAATCAGTCAAACAATTGCTACGAAAATTGTTTGCGCATTTGCTTTTGATCGGCATTCAGTAAATGCGGCATCCATCTTGCATAGAGCTTTCACATCCCTAAATCTTTATGCAAAATGTTTTGCACCCTTTCTTTTGATATCCCCACAGCTTCACCTGCCTATTGTCCAACACAATATCATGCACTTTTTCGATGGCTTTCAGTGTGGGTTGCGGTTTTTGGCCTTCCTTCACGTGGGTCATCTTTGAGGGATGTGCGACCACATTTAAATTCTTGCTGCAACTTTTTAACGGCTGGCATGGAAGGAGCAGAGTCCCCATAAACTTTTGTCAACTTCGGATGAATTTCCCTAGGGTTTAAAGTCCACCCAAAACAAAGAATTTTATGACTGCACAATATTCAAGTTTATCTGTTTTAATGAATAACACGCAAGACATCTACTGTGAAAATTTGTAAAGAAGCTACTTACGCAAACAAATTGAAACTTGTCATCCGAACTAATGACACTTGCACACAGGCAGGAAACAAATTTTTGCTGATTGGAGCGCCATCTCTTGGTCAGACAAGAACTTTTTACCTTACCCTTGTACATTTCTTGGTCTCACTTGATGCTCAGAGGATGATTTTAGTTCATCTAATGTCTGTGGCTTGCAGACCACCCACTCACTCACACATATGTAAGTGCACTAACTTGCTCACAAATGCACAGCCCCCCAAAAGAAAAATAAATAAATAAAATTAAAACACTAAAAAGGATTTCCTACACAGCTCTCGAAAGAATATTTAAAACACTAAAATGGATTCCCAGTGATGGAGATAGCCAGTATCTTGCAAGGAAAAGTATTCACATATACCTACTGGCTACAAAATTACAAGGTTAATTTTTCATAATTTTTAGGCCATACCGTACATATACAGCTTGGTTAATCACATCATGCAATTTATTCATTTTCAAGTTGCACATTATATTTAAAAATATTTAACAATTATACCTTTCTTTTCTTATCACCTCCAATTTCAAAGTGTTTGCACCGCTTGATTGGAAGTTGCTTTCTGTATTTGCATGCTGAACATTCCATTCTTAATACAATTTTTTTAGTTGTTTTCGCCTAAAATGAAAACACATTGTTCACAAATGACTACTGAAAAATTTAATACTGATTTTTAATGACAGAATGAAGTTCAGTCAGTAAACTATAAAAGCAAATGCCTCAATTCAAAGAGGCTCAGATTTTAGGTAGCTAAAAATGAAGTGTACAAGACGAATTAAAATGAAATTAATACAAATGTAAATAATCCTATAAAATTCCTACATATAAGCAAGATAGATTTTATAATTGTTTTCAGAATAACTTACTTGATATTATATTTCACTTCTGATTCATTAACAAAGCTTGCACTAAAATAAAATTTAAATATATTTACTTGAAAATAAGACTTCCTTACATTAAATTATAACCTGATTAGAATGAAGGCAAGCTACCTAGTTAAATAAAATATTTTACTATAGTGTAGAAAGAAAAAGCATATTATAATTAGTAGTAATTGTGCAGTGTATGTATACGGTAGTTACCTGTATGTTTGTTTAAAATTTAGGCAGAGTAATCATTCAATTTAGTGTGATTAAAAGATAGCAAAAATGGGTCTTATTTTCAAGCAACTACAATAAATGTGTTTTGACTGTAATAGCACAATTACCCAAAGTATGCATTATTGCACAACTTTAGCTTGGAGTACTACAATGTTAATTTACTTTCTTTTGTCAAGTGATCTGTGAAAAAATAACAAATCACTTAAAGATAAGAAAGACAAAATTCTTAATCAACTTTTTTTAACTCTCTGATTGACACAGAGTTCCACTAATAAAGCCAAGTTTCCCCCAAACTGCCATGAGTAAGAGGTATTTTTTTTTTTAATTTTAAAAACTTACTTTAAACCCCTGTTACTTTATACCTGGATTTACATTCCTTTAATGTACTGCCATGATTTCCTGGACATATTTTGAGATAATATATATATAGAAGGTCTTGTCAATCAGAGGGTTAAACAAATTACGACAAGATGTATTACATGTACTCCCCCAACATAAGGGAACCTGAAAAACAATCTTTTAGTACACTTACCATCAGTTCTAACTGAATGAGGAACTAGATACTTACTAACTTTCAGACAAAATTAACTAATTAAATACAAGGAAACAAAAATTGTTATAAATACACTATTTTTCAAAAAAATCGAAGTAGCATAAAGGAAGTGGTTGTTTTTGATGAAATTGAATGTGCATATCTCATACACAGATAATAAAATGATGAAAAAATCAAGGTCATTGTACCTGTTCACGGCTCGCAATCACCCATTGAGTGTTCAAAGTTTGTCAAACTACCCCTGGCAGCAATGAATGCTTGAATTCATAGAGGCAACGAGTGGTAGAGTTTCCTAATGTCATTCTGCCAGGTATTCATCGGCTGTTGCTCCAGATCTGCGATATTTAAGGTGCCCGAGTCTGGCGACCTACCATGTCCCAAACATGCTCAATTGGTGAAAGGTCTGGCGACCTTGCTGGGCAAGGAAGAGTATCAACTGCACAGAGACAGTACAAGGATATGCGAGCAGTATGTCACCTGGCATTACCTTGTTGGAAAATGGCCCCAGGATGGTATCAACACATGTTAAAGATGAGCTGTTAAAAGTTGTATGAAGGATGACTAAAGATGACCCGCTGTCATAAAAAAATAGTGCTCCACACCATCACACCAGGGGTTATTGCTGCAGGATTGCCAGTCAAACACAAGAATGAGATCCCCCGAGTTTTTCAGGTGTGTTTAAAAAATATTCCAGTCTATCTGTGTAATGCACGTTCGCTGTGCTAAGAGATAAATTAATTATGGTATCACTTGAAAACACAAAAATTTGCCAACTACGGTACTATTCAGTTTCGAGGACCATAAAAAAATTGCAGCGAAAATGTCTGCGCAAAACTGCAAACGTGGCCATTTAACAGTGTGCCAAATCTAGTTTTCCCGCTGATTTCAGATTGTGTAAGTTTATATAGTTCTATATTTCTTAAGACACCATTGAAATACTAGGATACTTTTTAAATCCTTTTTTTGATATGCTATGGAATTAACAGTTTGGGACTTGTCCGTGATGAAAAGTCTGCAATAGAATTTTGAGTAAAGTGCAGAATCCCCACTGCTAGACGCGTTTTTAAAAATTGCACATACTCGGTATCCATGTACACATCGACCTATTTTCACTTAAAAAGTAAAAGAAAATTGACAAAAAACTAATTGTTTTTACCCTTGTAAAAAAGCGGCAAACAAATAAGTGGGCGATTCTTACCGAGAATTTTTTTTATAGAAAAAGCATCATTCATTATAGAAAATTATGTCTGAACGACCAACGAGATGAAATAATGATTCAGCGATATATCGATGGTATCTTGGTAGCGAAATATCGATGCAGGCATCCATTCAGTTATGTTTACCAATTTTTATATAAATTATAAAAATGATCTGAAATAGTTATTTACTCTTATGCTTCCATTCAGCCATGTTTAGCCTTTTTTATATAAATTATAATAAAAAAGTATTATACAAAATTAACATTTCATCAAAATTAAAACATAAATCTTAGTTATTTACTATTACACTTCCTTTCTTGCATTAGGGTTGCCGCCATATTCTTGGCAGCACTGGCATCAACATGGTATATTTAATTATGGCAAAGCACACTAGGGCTATCTGCCTAAGGGGAGGGATGCCTTCGTGGAGGACTTTCTAAGGGAAACTGGCTCGTATACACGTTACACATGGGGAAAACCACGAAAACACCCATGCAGCCAGCCCGTTCGCGGGACACTGGCATCAACAATAGTTTGGCGATTTTTTACAGCCCTCAAAACCGAATAGTACCTCAACTACATATATATCTACTATTATATTATATATATATATAAATATCCAAAGCATTACTATTATAACTTTAATAGGACACTGAAGATTGAGATTAGAATCTGCCCAATCTGTATTAAAATCTATTTTTTTGCAAACATTTTGTAGAAAGAAATCTAATGAAATTTAAAAATAAATTCAAGTATTTTATATTTATTTAGCCGCATAAGCAAAAAATATGTGGATTAAATTTCATGATGGTATGTCATCACACTGCTAGAATTAATTTCATGATTATGACAGAGAAAATTTCCTAATTTGAAAGCATTATTTACTAATAATAAATATGTTTCAAGAGAACATTTAACGAGACGAATAGCATAGATAATTACTTAAAAATTGAATTAGAATAATCAACGATATTTTAGCGAATATAATTATATTAAATGGTTAGCCTAGATGACTGATTGCTATTTTTATTTTGTTGCAAAATGGCAAATAAGGCACAAAAAAAAAAAAAAAAAAAAAAAAAAAAAAAAAAAAAAAAAAAGGAGGTTTATGAGATTTTGAGGTAAAATGCTAGTATACTTTACGGCGCTGGCACGATTTTGAAAATTGTCGGCAACACCAAAATGATCAGTTTACAACTCATTATAATGTCGCCAAATCCCATATGTACCGCACATGGAGGCTATTCTAACCACAGAACGTGTATGTAAAGAAGGAAAGGTTCCATAGACGTAATGCTATTACCCTGGTAGAAAGTAGAGGAAAAATTTCCCTCTCCGCGATGTGTACAGGACATTGAGTTAGGACTCGTGTTAAGAAGAAACATTCTTTGACAAAACGTTTCTTCTTTGATTTTTCACAATAATTTAAACACGGATTTTCGTAGTTTTTTTTTGGGGGGGGCGGGAAGGCTCAAAATAGCCAATCCATTAATTTACTTGCACAAAAAAATATTTTCTTTTTCTTGAAAATTTAAAGTAATTTAAAAAGATATTAATTTTGTAAAACTCTTGATAACGTGACCTTCGAACTTCAAGTTTTGGCGACAGTTTTCCAGCATGAACATTCTTTGGCGGTTTTCCCCTACGTTGGAATGGAGCCACTCCTGTTGCAAAGAAGTTTCCCTTGTTAACAATATATATTCTTTGTTTCTAACCTCCATAGTACTGTATAATAGGATTAAATTGATTTTATTAAAAAAAAGTATTTTGTTTAGTTCAATATGTACTGCATATGCACTTGCGATTCTCGGAGGTTATTGGAAACCAAAAGTTGCTGGAAACTTGCTTTGCCTTTCTAAAAGACAATCTAATCGGAGTTGCGAAAATTGGCTCTATGCCGAATAACACTGACGTGATACACAATTCGCCAAGAAAGTGATCACTTCCAACGTCGGCGCAAAACTCACTTTTTTGGGGGGGGGATCGCTATATGAAATCCCCTGACTTTTTTGGTGAATTTCTGAGTTACCTAACTTTTTCAAGTTTCCCAGGTAGTGTGGCTGTATGCCTTTGTAAAAAAAAAAAGGCTGATTGGGACCGCTGGCCCTGTCCTCTCCAGACACGAACACGGTGGTTATCTGCTTCAAGAGTGAAATGGGGTTGACAGCTGAACACTATATGATGCCAGTCTGATGGCAACCACGATGATCGGCTGCGACACCACTCCAGACGACTCTGCCGATGTTATGGGGTTAAACAGGGTTCATACACATTTCTGCACTTGGAAATTAAGTACTTTTATGGACCATTAATGAAAAAAATTAAGGACCTATCAGCCAATAGGAGCTAAAAAATTCAATTCAATTCGGCTTATATCTGAATTTTACTTTTGTAATAACATTCTAAGTATAAAATAGATCCGTAAGTAGGATGCATTCTTATTAAACATAACTTTAAAACAAATTTGAGATTGAAATCCATATTATAAAATTTATCAAACAGCATTAAATATTTTACACGTATAATAGTTGGACATATTTGAAAGATTGGGGACATTTCATTTACATTTTATTAACAGCTTTATGCTGATTTTTTCATTTATATCTCATTTTGCCGCATACTTACTCATTCTAGAGGATTAGTAAATAGCAGGTAAATTTTATGTCAAATGGCATAGGTTAAAATGAGAAATAAAATCATAATCAGCATGATTTGTAACAGAAGATTAGTTGTTGCTACTGCTGCTGCTTGCCAAGAGAGAGACCT